CGTAGCTCTATAGCAGGGTAAGGACAGTCCAGGCAAGCCTGCACCTTCAGTTCCACTGAAGTTCAGGCTGGTTTCTGGCTATGGGACTGGAAACCAATTTGTTCAGCCTACAACACTCTCTGTGCCTCCTGCCAGCTTAACTTGGCTTCCTACTGGCTTGAACTCAGCTCCTTGACCTCCTGCCAACTTGAACATGGTTTTGCCTCACTCTTGACACTGGTTGCTGCTAGATGGAGCCAGCCTGCAGCTGCTCTGAGTTCTGAGCTCTATTGGCCCTGCTTTGAGGATGGCTACCAGCCAATTCCCCTCTTTTTGGGGACATCTGCACCTGAACAACTCACCAGCCACTGTAGGCTGCTGTGTCCACTGATCCATCCCACTGATGTGCTTCTTCATGCAGGCCTCTGAGGTCCACAGTGGTCACCAAGCATCTGCAGATGACCACTCCCATGTAGTGAGTTCAGAACTCAGGGAGAAAGTGCCACCTGCCACCTCCCTCTGCTTTCAGGTCTTTCTCTTTGCTCTCCCTGTGGGCTTCAATTCTTGCTTCAGCTCCTTGCTAGGTGTCACGGACCCATTTCCCTGCTTTTGCTCTTCCTCATGTTGCTATATAACAGCGTGTAGACACTAAATTACAGAGAGACTGTTTCTTTTCTGTTCCCTCCTCTGAAAATATTTTCAATCTTTGGTCTTATGGAGAAACACTAGTACCTTAAAGTGTGACAGGAAACCTTCTATAGTTTTCTGATCTGCTTCGCATAAACCTTTGCCTCTGGAAGCCTGGTAGAGACTATAGGGGTGGGAAAGGAAGGTGAGGCTAGGATCCCATAATTAGAATGGCTTTCAGGAGGAGGGGGCCCTCTGTCTCCTAGTGCCGTCTCCCTCACTAGCTTCTGCCTGGGCAGGACGCTCCCTGAATTAATCTGAAATGGCCTTCTAGAATCTGCCAACCAACAGCACTAGACCTGTTAGATTTTTAGGCTTCCCAACAGACTTCATCACAATCGGCCTTTAACAAATGTCCAGGTGGTTTTCATTGAGTTTTGAGCAGTGCTGGTACAGTGGATCTGAAGTACTAAAAAAATGTTTGAAGATGCCTCCTCTGGCCAGGTATGTGGTCTGATGTCACAGTTTTACATGCACTGACTCATATTGTATATTTATAGTTTCATGTAGGGTTTTGGTGGGTACTAGGGATTGAACCCATGGCTATTTTAGGCAAGCATTATACAATTATGCTCTCAGTGCTTTTATTATAGACAACTAAGTTGGTTTGAAGTATTATAGTCAGTCAGACAAGGGCTAGGCCCTCAAAATGAGTCAGTACAAATACAACTGTGGGTGGAGGAACACTTGTTAAAGGCCAGACCTTAAGACAAAAGAAACACTGACTATATCTACACAGTTTTCCTAAGGATGAACAGCAGTGGTTTATTGAGGCCTTGGCCTAGGACTGGGGATCCCTGCTCAGAAGTATGATGACAAATAAAACACAGATTAGGGCCAACGAGATAGCTCAGCAGATTACCCACCCCCCATGCTTTGGTAAGCCCAGGGACCAGAGTTTGATCCCCAAGTCCTGGCACGGTAGTGCACACCTGTAATCCCAGTGCTGGGGAGGCTGAGAACAGGAGGATCACTATGAGTTGGAGCTGTGTAGTGACACCCTGTACCAAACACATAAAAATGAAAAAAATAAAATAAAAAAATAAAATATACATTTTAGTTACTTGGGCATCAGGATGGGCAAATGACAGGCTGGAACATAAGGCACAGGGTCCTTGGCCTTTCTTAGGTACGCAGCTTGATTGGAGGTATGTAGCTGGTGGGCTACAGGAAGTGGTGGGGGTGAACTGCGGATGTGGCTAAGGTTCAGAGTTTGAGGAACAGTGTGCACTGTGCACTTTTGGAAAAGCACATGGCAACAGATCAGGGTTAACTAGTAACCTGATTGTCTGCAAATTTCAACAACTGAGCTAGATGAAATTTGCACAAGCCAAGTCCTCAGCTGCCATTTTATCTTGCTTTCAGGGGCCAAAACTTCATAGACTGTGTGCTGGTCTTAGCTCTGGCCACTGGCTTAAAGATTAACCTGTCCTTAAACCAGCAGCCACGGGGGTCTTGCCACAAGTCACGTCGCCCTGTGACAGATTCTCATTTTTGTGCCAATTTATTAATTATTGCCTGCTTAGCACTGTGTGTCAAGCTTACTGGTAGCAGTGATTGATATTCTAGAGGCAGCAATCACAGTGGGAGAGGAATGGAAACCTCCCCTTCTGAAAAAGTCCCTGCTTGTTTCATGTACCCCTTTTCCATGACTTGCTTCCCCATTTGATCAGTATTGCCTAAGTGTGATACTTGTAATCTCACTGGTTCACCACAGTTCTGCCCCACCTCACGCCCACCTTGGGATATTCCAGTGAATCAATGTTACCTAAGCGACCACACATGTACTCTTATTAGTTAACTATAGTTTTTCATATCTTAGACCCATCTCACTCGTGGCTTTGCCCCATAAAACTCCCTTGAGATGTGGGCTCCTCAGCAACCCACTCGGGGCTCCTTCTGTCTCTCTTAAACAGAAGCTTTCTTTCCCACAGTATTTCCTATTTGCCTCTGTCATCCCTAGAATTAATTCTTTGATTTTAGAGAACATAAATTCAGCCAGCATGTTCAAAATTTATATTTCCTTTATATTATTTGGATTATTGGATGGTCCGTTATCCTCCCTATATCACTTTTTTTGTTTTTGATCTTTTTGAGACAGGGTTTCACTCTGCAATTCAGGCTGGCCTTGAACTCACAGCAATCCTTCTGCCTCAGCCTCCTGTGTCCTGGAACTACAGGCATGCATCATGCCTGGCTACCTGTATCACTTAAAATATATATATTTTGAGACAGGGTTTCACTAAATGCCTAGCTAGGAGCTTTATTATTATTATTATTATTTTTTTTTTTTTTTGAGACAGAGTCTCACTAATTTAGGTTGGCTTTGAACTCCCTGTGTAGACTAGCCTGGCCCTGAATTTACAGTGATCCTCTTGCCTCAGCTTCCTGAGTAATTAATGCTGTTGTATTGTACTGTAATTATAGACTTGCACCACCATGCCTGGCTGGTTTGAGACTTTAGGTCTTCCTGCCTCAGCCTTTGGAGTAGCTGGCATTATAGGTGTGTCACAACTTTTATCTATATATACCTTCATGTAATTGATGATCCAATCAAGGTGCAGAACCATTACCAGGAGACTCTCTGTGTCACCAATTTATGGAGGTACATAGGTAACTCCTGGAAACCACTAATCTGATCTCTGGCTCTAGGGTTTTGTCACTTCAAGAATGTTAGCTAGAGGCCCTGCCCATTAGCTAAGTGCCTGCTTAAACAAAGCAGTCAGCCTCAGGGTGCTGTGGTTCAAAACCCAGACACTCAAGGTGAACCAGACCTGTGCTAAAGGCAATCTCAGGGAAGGCAATCTCAGGCCACCAAAAAAAAAAAAAAAAAAGTTAGCTAGTTGGGCATGGTAACATACACTTGTAATCCCAGCACTCAGAGGCTGAGGTAGGATCCTGAGGCCAGCTTCGGCTACATAGGAGCTCAAGGCCAGCCTGCACTATATAGTGAGACAATGTAAAAAAGAAAAAAGGAAAAAAAAAGTTAGCCTAGGGGCTGGAGGAGGGGGAGCTCAGTGGTAGAGTACATGTTTACTATGAGTGAAGCCCTGGAGTTGATCCTCAGCAACACACACACACACACACACACATTATATAAACAGCTAGATATCTATATATGTATCTATATATCTATCCTTGTAAAACTGTTGTTTTTGTTTTAGACAAGGTCTACCCTGTGTTGCCCAGGCTGGCCTTGAACTTCCATTCTTTTACTGTTGAGTAATGTATGGCAGGGCTGGTTTACATCAGTGTTCATTTGATATGAGACATTTGTGTCATTTCTAGGCTTTGGCTATCATGTAACTGCCGTCATCAACATTTACACATACATCTTTGTGAACAGAAGTTTTCATTTCTTTGAGGTAAATGTCCAAGGTTACTACTGTTGGCTCATATGGTAAACACATGTTTAGTTTTGTAAGAAACTGTCAAACTGTTTCTGAGGGGCTGTGCAATTTTAGAGTCCCACAGTAACGTGGAACCAATTAGTACAATTTTTTTTTTTTTTTTTTTAAGCCAGGGTCTATGTAGTCCAGGCCTCAAACTCTAGGTGATTCTCTTGCCTCAGCCTCCTGAATGCTAGGACTACAGGCGCCACTACGAATTTATAATTTAGCATTCTGACAGGGTGTTGTGGCATCTCATTGTGGTTCATGTTGAACATATTTATGTGTGTTTGTCATCTATATATTCGCTGGCTCTTTTTTACAAGGGGCAGTGTCTCCCTAGGTAGCCCAGGCTGGCCATAAACTAGAATCTGAGATCCTCCTGCCTCAGCCTCCCCCGCGCTGGGATTACAGGTGTGCACCACCACGCCTGGCCTGGACTGCATTTTCTCCGTGTCCACTGCAGAAATCAGCTCTCAGAAACCCCGCTTTCCCCTCATTTCCCGCAGGTCCGTTCCATTATCACTTCGTCAGAGACCTCCCTTCCCACCTCCCTTCCCAGCGCTTAGGCGACAGCGCCAATTCCGCGTTCATTCGCGCATTCACCCCCTGCTCGCCCGCACCCTCTACACTGAGGAACACAGTACGGAACCAATAAACGCAAGTCGAGACTCACAAGTCTTATTTTGTAGGTCAGGCGCTTGTTCCAACTTTACGCAACCTGCGAGCGCCCTCTCCCGGGAAGCGCGTTCGCAAAACGAAGGAAGTGAGTCAGGCCCTTTCAGGGTTGGGAAAAAAAATGGCGGCCAGACGCAAGCGCGTAAATACTAGCGCCGGAAGTTCCACACCGGAAGGTTGCTTCCAGAACCCGGTCCCACGGGCAAGAGGACGCGTGGACGAGCGGTGTTCTGTAAAAAGGGCTCGGCTGCAGCGCTGCCACGCAGACGCGTTCCGAGCGTGCAGGCCCTGGTAACCACGTGGGGAGCGCCACGTTTCCGGTGCCGGCGGCTGCAGCCGGAGTTTAAAGCCCGGGCAGCTGGAGTGGTAAGAGGGGTTCGGGGTCCGGAGAAGGAAAGAAAAGGAGCGGGGCTCGGCGAGCAGGACGCGGAGGTGAGGAGGGGCGTTCCGCCCTGAGAGGTGGCCGGGGGGTGGTGGAGGTGGGCAGGGCGGGGGCGGCTGTGGACCCCAGCTGTCGCGCGCGCCGCGTGCTCGCCTTTGTCCGTCGCCGTCCGTCCGCGGCCGCCGGGGGCCGCGCCTCGTGCTCCTTCTGGGGCGCCGCTGGGCCGAGCGCCGACGCTCCGGGGCCGCCTGGAGAATGAATGAGGGGTGAGGGGCCGGCGTGGGGGGCGCCGATAGGGACCGTGCCGGGCACCGCAGCCCCGCCTTAGGCGGGGAGTCCGGGCTTGCCCGGGGTTCTCCCGAGCTTCCCGTGCGCTTTGTCTCTTCTTCTTGGAAGAGTGTCAGTCGCGTAGCCTCCCGCTGCTGCAGGCCGGGCCCGGTGGCCAGGTGCCCCCGACACGTCCAGGGTCGAGCAGGCCGGGGTGCGGGCACGGCCGGCGGGGAGACAATTGCAGCGTGCTGTTAATTCAGTGCGGTCTTGGGAGGTGAAGCCAAGTCCAGGAAGGAAGGGCCTGCGGTGCAGCGGTGTCCCCCGAGGGACTGCCTTTCGAGGTGAGGCCGCCCCTTCTGCCCTGCAAGACCGCTGTGAGCAGATCCTCTGCAAAGGGAAGGCCCAGTGGGTGCCACCCGGCGGCTTTTATCCCGTGCGAGCCGCTCTTACTATTAATGGCTGCAGTTCTCTCACCATCCGCTGTTCATTGGCTTTTCACAATACTCATTACACCTTAAGGGGTAGCCTAACTAGCAGACGGTTGGGAAATCGGGATTTTGGTCTCCTGGTCCCAGGTCCTGTGTGTAGAATGAAAGGGATCCCCATGACAGTCTCTAAAACACCTTCCAGTTCTGCCGTCATGGCTGGGACAGTAAATCAAGCCGTGTTTCATACCAGTTCGCACCAGATCTGACTTCCACATCGGTGCAGTCAGTATTCGCCAGCCTGGTTGAGTTAATTCCCGAGAAAGATGTTTCTTTCTCCATCTCCTTTTGTGATGGTAAGGGGCATGCAGTAGATGCTTAATAGAAGTTCATTCCATCAAGTGGCGTGGGAATTAGTGCGTTTGCACCCTTCCCCACCTCGGGCTAATACTTTCTATAGGAGATGATTGGGAGGAGTTGGGTTTTAGGAAAGAGATTTGGAGTTGGCACGGCACCGGCTTTATGGATAATCCGCTTGGGAAGGATCTCGGTGCTGGCAGGAATCCAGCGCTGTTTCATCCTCCTCTTTCGTCCGCAGGACCATGGCCAACAGCGAGCGGACCTTCATTGCCATCAAGCCTGATGGCGTCCAGCGGGGCCTTGTAGGAGACATCATCAAGCGCTTTGAGCAGAAGGGGTTCCGCCTTGTTGCTTTGAAACTTATGCAGGTTAGTGGGCTTGGTTCTTGGCGCTGAGGTTCCTTCCCAGTACAGGGAATCACTGTAGATTAATTTCCATGTGTTCTTCTTCTCCTTTTTAGGTTCTTCCATGGTAGAACAAATGTCTAGAAACCTAAAACCGCCTTGTCACCTAGCTTCTTAGCTTAATTCTGAAACAGGCTATTCGGGGCTCTCAGACACATAGAACTCCACCTGTTAACTGTAGGGCTGCAGCCTCTGCCTCTGTTCTGGCAGCATGGGAGCTCCTGACCGCAGCTTCCTAAACAGATGGTCTCAGAACCCTGCCTGCCTCTTTTTTTTTTTAAATTTTTTTATTTGTTTATTTAGTGTGTGTGTGTGTGTGAGGCCAGCTCAGCCCAGCAGGGGGCGGGGCTGGCTGGCATGTGGTGCTGGGGGATTGAACCGTGGTCCCTGTGCTTTGCTATGCTTGTTCTAAGTAGGTGCTTTAGACCACTGAGCCATCTCCCCAGCCCCCTGCCTGCCTCTTAAGTGAAGTTTTTCAGCAGGAAAATCTTTGCCTTATCAGTTGCTACAGCTTAGTGTCCAGCACGTGTCAGGCCTCCTTGGGACTGTGTGTGTGTGTGTGTGTGTGTGTGTGTCTGTCAAAGAGAGAGAGAGAAAGAGAGAGAGAGAATGAGAGAACGAGAGAGAACGAGAACTGTGGTTTTGCTTTTAGGGCGGCTCTCCCGGCACACCTGTAAGATACCTGCACAACAACATTTCAGTAAATGCAAAGCATGGCTTGGCTGGAACCCTCTTCAAACAACAAATCCAAGGCAGGGGGAAAAAAACCTAAGCGATGATCATTTGCATTTCAAATCAAATAAATTGGGGAGGGAGTGATTTTTTTTTTTCCCCATTAAAGGGATCAACTTTAGCCCCTTGTGCTACAGTGTATTTATTAAATTGTTTTTGGCCAGTTTTGAGCGTGCACATCTATAATCCCAGCAAAGAGGTTGAGGCAGGAGGATTGCCTCCAGTTTGACTCCAGCTTGGGCTAAATAGGGAGTTTAAGGCCAGCCTAAAACACATGGTGAGACTGTCTCAAAAAACAAATTAAGGGTTGGGTATATAGCTCAGTGGCCTAAGTGCTTACCTAGCAAGTTCAGTGTCCTGAGTTCAATTCCCAGTAATCAAAAAAATTTTTTTGTCTTGTTGAGACAGGGTTTGGCTATGCAATTCAGGCTGGCCTTGAGCTCACTTTGTAGCCCAATGGACTCGTAGTGATCTTCCTGCCTCAGCTTCCCAAGTGCTGCAGTTACAGGCATGGGCCACTACATCCCCCTTAAAAAAAATTAGTGCATGTTTGCAGTACAAAATGATTACATTTACTGGGCTGTACTTTAAATTTAGTTGAATTGCAACTTAACGCTGGGCATGGTGGCACACACTTATAATCCCAGTACTGGGAGGCTGAGGCCGGAAGATGGCTCTGAGTTTAAGGGCAACCTGGGCTACACAGTGAAGTTTCAGCCCAGCCTGAATAGTGAGATTCTTTCAACTACCCCCAAATAAATAAATAATTTGCAGTTTACTTCTTGTGAGACGTTAGTAAAAGGAGTTGATTTTGTGCTTATGTTTCTTAGTTTCTCATTTTTATATCTACTAGCACCTGTCTGCAGTACATAAGAGACCATCTCAGAAAAATAAAACAAAACATGATTAGGGCTGAGGGCAGAGCTGGGGAATGAGGGACCAGACGGGTGTTGGACAGACAGTGGCTTCGCGTGTTCACTGGGTCTGGAGAGTGGAGTGGGAGGAACACGTTGTTGCTCAGGCCTCTCCCGCCTGCTGGGCGCATGGTTTCTCCTCCAGCCCTTACAGCAGCCCTGAGAGGAACTCGCTACTCCTCTGGTGTTTGTCAGTGTGGGGAAAGGGTGGTGTGCAAAGGTAGGTAAAGTACACACAGGCACAAGGATGCTTGGGATTTTGGTCTCTTCTGCCCCAGAGTGCGGACGTCTTTTCCTTTACACTGACTTTCCTGTCAAGGAAATAAATGGGTTTGGTCCGGAATGCAAGGTTGGAGGCGCCGATGACTCTACAGGGATGGCAGGTGAGGGGCCTCTTGAGGTTCTGCACTTCTGCGATCGGTTTTGTGGGCTGTACAGATCAATGGAGGCCTTTAACAGAATTCAAAGACTGTTTCTGTAAGGGAGTGTCAGGATGCACCTTGAGACAGCAGTGCTGAGCCGAGCCAGCAGACGCAAGGGCTGAGTACCTCTGGGTTTCTGTCATAGGAGAAACTGAACGAACAAATCATTTAAAGACTGAAATAAGCTAGGCGTGGTGGCGCATGGCGGTGATAGCAGCACTGGGGAGGCTGAGGCAGGACCTGTGCCACAAGTTTGATGTCAGCCCGGGCTACTTAGTGAGTTCAAGGCCAGCCTGAACTTCATAGTGAGACTGTCTAAAAAGAGATAAATACATATAAAGATGACAGGAAATGGGAGGTAGATTTGCAGAGAAAGAACATAAGTGATAAGACATCGTGGTAGGTATTTTCTGCCAGTTCCTCAAGGTGCATGGGATTATTACATAATGCAGTCATGTACTAGTAAGAAAGTTAAAACAAGAAGGGATGGTCAGTTGGATGTGTTCTGAGATGAGTGCTCAGCACTCCATGTGGGAAGGCAGGGACAGGGAGAGAGATGGGTCCCTAGCACAGAGCCAGGACAGTACAGCAGGTGGGGACCAACAGCAACCGAAAGGCAGGTTGTCTGGCTGTGCTCGAGGCAGCTGATCTTTGTGTCCCAAAGGGCGCAGTAGGCTCCGTGGCACAGCATTGTGGGGCTGGGAGCATGGAGACCCAGGCAGACCCCAGGGAGCGGGGCCGCTGCTGAGCGGGTGCTGTGCGCTGTGCTGGCTCGCCATGTCCCAGTTGTGTGACGCATGGCTTCCTGTGAAGAGCTTCAGGCGGCTCACAGATTGCTGTGGGGCACACGGTCACCTCCGTCCCTGGCATGAATGTGACGGGTCCCGGGGTGGGGGGACCTGTGCAGTGTTTGGCTAAGTGCTGCATTCGTTGGGCCCCCATGCCAGTGACACTGCCCGGCCCTGTGATCACTGTGTGGCCAACACCCGCTCTTCCCTGGGCCCTTCCTCCTCAGAAAAGGAAGGTTGTTGCTAAGTGACTCCTGTGATCCCAGCCTGCGCTACCTAACAGAATAGACCCCAAACCTTGCAAAAGTGAATCAGATGGAAGACTTAGAGAAGTAGTCTGAGAACCGTGTCTTTCCAGGTGAGGGAGGCAGTGGGGTTTGTCTATCAGACATCAAGTGCTGGATCCAATCCTTGTGGTATTCCCTCTGCACATCCAAGGGCACGAGAGGGATGCTGGCTTAGAACTGCAGAGGCGCTTTGAGGCCCTCCCAGTGCCGCCTGGGCCGTGGGGCAGGGATCTGCTGGTTAGAGGGTCCCAGGGGGCTGAGGTGTCGCCTTTGAAATAGCCAGGTGGCCAGGCGTGGTGGTGTGCCCCTGTGGCCGCAGCACTTGGGAGGCTAAGGTAGGAGGAACAGCGTGAGTTTGGGGTCAGCCTCGACTATAGAGTGAGACCCTGTGTCACAGAACACAAGAAAAATGGCTACCGGCATGGGTCGGGGAGCATGGTGGCTGGCTCTCATTGTTGTCCCCTTACAGGCCTCAGAGGACCTGCTCAAGGAGCACTATAGTGACCTGAAGGAGCGCCCCTTCTTTCCCGGCCTGGTGCAGTACATGCACTCAGGGCCCGTGGTCGCCATGGTGAGTGCTGCAGGGGCTGCTGGTGGGCAGGTGGGCTGGGGTCCCTGTCAGATGTCCGGCCCAGACTGCTACAGAGGAGAGATGCTGGCACGGCCGCGGTCAGGATAGGGCAGCCCTCCGAGCCACCCAAGGAAGGGTGCATTGGAGCCCTTCCTCCCCGCACTGCGGGAAGCCGAGGCACGAGGACCGCAGGTTGAAGCCAGCCTGGGCTCCCTAGGGGGTTCAAAGCCAGCCTGGACTATGCAGCAAGACCGTGGCTCAGAAAAATAATTTAAGTTTTCTGGTGCTAGGGATGGAGCCCAGGCCCCCACTATGCTAGGCAAATGCTTCACCACTGAGCCGTATATGTCCCTCGCTCAATGTTTCTTTCCCTTAGTCCTGGAGTCCTGGGTCTTGAACCCAGGGTTTCACATACGATAGGCAGGAGCTCCACCACGGAGCCATAGCCCCAGACCGTGCATCAGGTGTGAACTAATCCTTGTGTTGCTGAGATGAGCCGGGCTGTGTGATACCAGGGCCCCTTTAGACCAGTTGGTCTTGAGGTGTGACTTCCCAGGTTAGATCTGAGGGGCTGGCTGAAGTGGAGGCTGGGCTGGGAGGCAGGGCCCACGGGGCTGGGCCGGTCGGCCGGGCTTTCATGGCTTCCTGTGCCAGTGCACAGAGGCCAGGGTGTCCGCCTAGGGCTTTTCTCCTTGCTGTGTTTTCCCTGACCAGGTCTGGGAGGGGCTGAACGTGGTGAAGACGGGCCGCGTGATGCTGGGTGAGACCAACCCCGCCGACTCCAAGCCAGGCACCATCCGTGGGGACTTCTGCATCCAAGTGGGCAGGTGGGCGTGGTGCTGCTTCCTTTTCCTGAAGCCCATTTCTTGCCACAAGAATTTTGGTTTGCAGTGGGGGTGGAGGTGGCCCACACCTGTAATCCCAGCACTTTCTAGGCAGAAGCAGGAGGATCGCAGTGAGTTCGAGGCCAGCCTGAACTGCATAGTGAGACCCTGTCTCAAACAACCAAGAAAAGAAAAAAAAAAAAAAGAATTTAGGGTTTGTGTGGGGCTGGAGCACTTGGCATCAGGTGCAAAAAAAATTAAGAACCCAGCTCTGTGTCTTCCTAACTCTGGGGCTTCTGAGGGACCTGTTGAGGGCACAGGACCTGGGCGGGTTGCGGGGACAGTCGCGGGAGTGCTGATGGGGTCTTTCCCCAGGAGCACGGTGAGCGCAGAGCTTTCCCCGCAGTGGGCTTCAGTGCTGCTTCCCTTCTGCCCCGCTGATGTGGCCGATGCAGTCCTCTCCGTTTCTCTCGGTTCAAGTGTGTAGTCTGCAGCGACTGTCCAGCCCTGGGGGGTGTGCTGGCACCCAGCGCCTCTGGCCCTTCCGCCCCTCCAGGAACATCATCCATGGCAGTGACTCGGTGGAGAGCGCCGAGAAGGAGATTGCGCTGTGGTTCACGCGGGAGGAGCTCGTGGACTACAAGAGCTGCGCCCAGGACTGGATCTACGAGTGACCAAGAGATCAGCAGCGGGACCAGACTGCAGCAGAGCCATGTGGCGCAGAACATCCCTGTCGCCTGGAGGACAACTTGAGCTGTGCCCGCCAGTCCCTCCTGCGTTATGTCCTGCAGCTGCCACCCCACCACAGGCTTAGCTGAGTGGGTCACAAAGCCTTGTCTCTCTTTTCCCCACCCCTGCGTTCGTTCCTCCTGACACTGAGCATAACAGACATCTGTGGGGCCTGCCAGATTGTCAGCACTCTGCCCAGCCTAGAGGAGTCATCAGAAATGAAAGCTATCCACCCTTTGCTTTGCTTTGTTTGTTTCTTTCTTTTGAGACAGGGTTTATGTAGTTCAGATTGTCCTTGAGTCCAAATCCTCCTGTCTCAGCCTCCCGAGTGTGGGCATGGTAGGTCTGTGTCCTGTGTGGCTTCTTCCATCCTTTCCCTGAGAAGATACTGGGAAGAGAGTGTGAGGGGCTGGGGTGATAGCTCAGCCATCTAAGCGCCTGCCTGGCAAGTGCAAGTTCCCAGGTTCAATCCTCAGTACTGCATGCCGTGCTAGCCACTGAAATGGGTGTGGTGGTGCATGCCTGTAATCCCAGCACTGGAGAGGCTGAGACAGGAGGATCACTGTGAGTCCAGGCCACATACCCAGGTAGTGAGATCCTATACCAAATAAATAATTAAAAGATTAAAAATAATAAAAAAATAAAAGTGAGGAATTGTAACTACTCCAAAACTCAGGAAAGCTGGTGGACAGTAGGCTTGGCCCTTTCTGATGGCCTCAAATGGAGTGGGAGAAACCATAGTAGCTTTCATTAAGAAAGTGATTTAAATTTTTTTTTTTTTTTTTTTTTGGCAGTACAGGGGATTGAGCTCAGGACCTATCTCTCCAGCCCCTTGATTTATTTTGAGACAAGGTATTATACGGTTCAGGTTGGGCTTGAACCTACTAGAGCCCAGGCTGGCCTCAAACAGTGATTTTCCTGCCTCAGCCTCTTCAGTGCTGGGTTTACAGGGTGCCCCGCCATGCCTAGGTAAAAGACACTGATTTGATTTGGTTGCTTTAAGAGAACGAACATACAAATTTACTTATTTGTTTAAAACCTAGTCTGGTCAGTAGGTGCTGGCCAAGGTGGCTATGAGTTTGAGGCCAGCCTGGGCTCCAGTGGGTTCAAGGCTGGCCTGCCCCACATAACAAGAAGCTGTCTCAGAAAACAAAATGGAAACAAGCTGTGAACCGAAACCTTTCACTTCCCCCTCCCATCCTGCCAGCTAGGGTGGAGTCACATGAGGGAAGCCGGGCTGGGTATGGCCCAGGCTTATAATATCCAGTACTTGGGAGGCTGAGGCAGGCGCATCCCAAGTTCAAGGGCAGCCCCAGCAACTTCTTGAGACCCCTGAACACAGCAAGACCCTGTTTTTGAAAAAAAAACAAAAAAACCCCCCCCCCCCCAAAGAATAAACCCAAAACCTCAACCACGAAGGTAGGTGTGGGTAGGTGACCTTGGTGTGTGTCCTGGGTTGATGCTTTGAACTAGATGCTCTCGAAGCTGACAGGTGCAGCGATTTCTGCTCGGGGCTGCTTGCGTGGTGATCAGAGCCAGGGTGACAGCGTTGTGAGCTCCGCGGAGGTTGCTGCGGGCCCTGAGGACCTGCAGCGCTGCTCGGGCAGAAAGGGCCTGTGTGTGTGGGGGGGGGGCGGTTATCGGACCGCATAATGAGTTCCGTTCTTGCTCGCTTGTTTTCAGTAGTGGGGATAGTAACCGGTAGCTCTGGCGGGGCTCTAACTTGCAGGCCCCTCACCCCCCCTCGTCCTCCCAAGTTGAGGATTCCAGGCCTGCGGCAGATTCCGGTGTTGCGGGCAGCAACTTCTGCACCTTTAGCCAATGGGGAGTTTCGCGGTCCCAGTCGGTGCTCAAGCTTGCTAGGAAAAACCTGCCTGGCTGGGTTACAGAGCAGCCAGGTCACCCAGGACACAGGGACTGGAGCAGGGGGCGGGGACCTGCGGGGCCGGGCTTTGCCAGGCGGAGGAGGTAGGGACTGCTTGAGAGTTCCCGAGCCTGACCTGTGCCAGCATTTAGCCTTGCCCGGCTGGGTGCATCTCAGTGGAAACCGTGGAAGTGGGGAACCCTGTCGCGGGTGGGGACAGGCAGGACCCAGCCAGGTGCCAGAAGCTTTCCTTGCTGAGTAGTTTCAGGCCCTCCTGAGGCCGGAACGGAGACCAGAGTAGGTGGCCGGCAAAAGACAGGTTGGGGAGGGGGTGGGAGGCATCGGGACCCCCGGGGAGGCCGTCACTGTGGTCTGGGACTTGCCCGACGCCCAGGGTGGGGGGGCCGAGGCTCCACGCTAGGAAGGACAAGGTCACCAGGGCGGAGGGGGAAGCGGATGGCACTGACCGGGAGAAAATGACTCAAGTCTCGCAGTAGATTCCTGTGTGGGGAGTGGCAGGAGGTTGGGAGGGGCGTGGGTGGAGCGGGGACGCCGGGGTGGGGACACAAGACTTCCTGAGACAGGCTAGGTCCGGGCACCCACGTAGGCCAATGGGTGGCCCCGGGGTGTGGTTGCTGTGCTGCTCCTCCCCGCTGGCGCCCGAGGTCGCTCCGCTCCGCTGTGTTGTCTCCGTCGCTTCCTGGTAAGGGTCGAGGGCTCCGTCCCTGCACCCGTGATCCTCGGATCACCGACCGCTGGGCCCCGGAGCGGTGCAGCGCCCTCTCCCGGCCGGGAAGCTCTGCAGGGGGGCAGCGGGCCGTCGGAGAGGCCACGTGCCTGTGCGGGCGGCGGCGGCGGCGGCGGCGCGGAGTCCACGAAGCCTCCCGGGCCGGGCCACCTCCGCGGGCCTGTGTCCCCGCGGCCAGTCGCCCTGACCGGGCCTCTCTGCGCCCGCAGGACCATGGCCAACCTCGAGCGCACCTTCATCGCCATCAAGCCCGACGGCGTGCAGCGCGGCCTGGTGGGCGAAATCATCAAGCGGTTCGAGCTGAAGGGCTTCCGCCTGGTGGCCATGAAGTTCATGCGGGTAAAGCGCCTGGGGCCGCGTCCCAGTCCGCAGCAGCCGCGCTCCGCGCTTGCCGTGCCCGTGAGCTCCCGCGCGGCCGCCGTGCGTGCGTGGGCGCGTCCCTGTCCCCGGGAGGTCGGGCGCCCCCAAGAATGAGCCGAGGCTAAGGCCGCAGCGCAACCTGGAGGCCTGGGAGCTGCGGTCTGGACTCCGGGTCCCTCCGGCGGAGGGTAGCAGCTGTATTCACCGCTTGAAACTTGGGGCGCCGACTCTTGAAGGATAAGTAAGAGCTAGAGTTTCTGTCCAGCTCGCCTGCCGAGGGAACGATAGTGGGTCGCCGTGAAATATTTAAAGGGGCTGCAATTCGCTGTGAGCTTGGGGCCGCCCAGCGACAGAACTCAGGAGAGCGACACCCGGGCCGATAGGGTCGGCGCGCACTTCGGGGAGCTTGGGGCAAGCCGGTCTGTGGAGGACCTGCTCCGAGGAGGGCTGGGTGCAGCCCGGGCAAGCGTCCGGCTGGGGCCTGACCCGTCCCCTTGCAGGCCATGGAGGAGCAACTGGAGCAGCACTACAGCGAGCTGAAGGAGCGCCCCTTCTTCCCCAGCCTGGTGCAGTACATGCACTCGGGGCCCGTGGTCGCCATGGTGAGTGCTGGGCCGGCGCCCGCCCGCGGGTTCCGGCCGGGGACTTTCTCCGGCTGCTCAGTTCTTTGTCTTACAAATGAGGCCCTGGGAGGATTGGTTATTTAGTTAACTAGGAACCTGAGGGAGAAGGGAGAGGGATTCCGAGCCTAGAGAAAAGGACTTGTTAAGGCAAACCTCTCTAGACTAGTTTTACCGCCTACAAGAACGGCTAAATATGACCTGTTCCCACAGGCGTTTTGATCGCATTTTCCTAGAGACTTAGAAAAAACTGCTAGGCTTGGTGGCGCCTTCCTGCTGTCCGGGAACGAGGCAGGAGGACCAGCCTCGGGTACTCAGTGAGCTCAAGGACAGCCTCAACTACGTGGGGGCTCAAGGTTTTTTGGGTTTGTCTATTAATAAGTGAAAGCAGTTCTCTAATCCTGTGGTAGAGATGCAGCATCTTTAGATGGTTTTTATGACCGTTTGGATGGGGACAGGTAGATAATGGGAAGGCTTTTCTTCTGTCACCTGTGCTCTCATCTTTTCGAGTGGCCTTGCACTGTCACTCACCCCTACTTATCCCGAGTGTTTTCGGCTGTTTTGGTTCTGCCTTCTTGTTTATCCATCTGAGGTCCATGCCCGCTGTCCTACATTCACAAGGATTTTTTTTTTTTTTTTTTAAGTTGGAGACAGGGCCTCACTATGGGTCCCACGAAGGCCTAGAGCCCACCGTGTAGCCCCGGCTGGCCGCAAACTCATGGCAATCCTCCTGCCTCAGCCTCCGGAGTGCTGGGATGACAGTTGTGCACCACCGAGCCAGGAATGGAATAATTTTATGCTGGCTCCTCCTTTTTACTGGGACGGACGTCGATGTCACTGAACTGTTGTTGTTAGTGGAGGTGGTGTCTGTCCCTAAGGCTTCCAAGCAGCCCTTCCAGTGTCTCTCCCCCGCCCACCCAGGTCTGGGAGGGGCTGAACGTGGTGAAGACGGGCCGCGTGATGCTGGGTGAGACCAACCCCGCCGACTCCAAGCCAGGCACCATCCGCGGGGACTTCTGCATCCAAGTGGGCAGGTGAATGTGTGTGTGTTGGGGGGGGGGCGCACTGACGACTTTGCACCTGAAAAGATGGAAAGCAAGCACGGAGGAGGGGCATATCCCACCGTTTTAGAAAAATCTGGACTTCAAGTAGTGATCATCATTAGATAATCTTGCTGTGATGGTACACACCTGTATTCCCAGCCACCTGGGAGGCTGAGGCAGGCGCATCCCAAGTTCAAGGGCAGCCCCAGCAACTTCTTGAGACCCTGCCTTGAGAAAAGTAAATGCTTGTTGCGGTTGGCTCGTGCAAACAAGAAAGAAATTCTAGTCAGGGATTGGCTCAGCTTTCAATTTTTTTTTTTGGATACTGGGAATTGAACTCAGGACCCTGGGCTTGCCATCCTTGCTTGTTCTACTGAGTTATCTCCCTAGTCCTTCAGTTTTCAAAATTTGGGGAGTATTTTACAACACAGGTGATCCTGGGGTATGAGCACATTTTAAGAGGCAAATTTGGGAGCATAATACTGTTGAAGGGAACAATTTTCCTTGTTTTTATTCAGTACTGAGGATTGAAGTCAGGGTCCAGCAAGTGTTCTGCCACTAAGCTGCATCGCCAGCCCCATGGGAGTTAATGTTTTTTTTTTTTTTTTTCTTTTTTAGCAGAAACAGGGATTGAACTCAGGCCTTTGCACTTGCCAGGCAAGAGCTTATTCTACTGAGCTATCTCCCTGGCCCCTTAATGTTTCTTTCTACAGCAAAACCCTCTGAAAAAACCAAAATCAAACAGAAAAACCTACTGCTTCAGGTGGTAATCCTGGGTGGCTGTCCTGTGTCACATCTGTGAAATATGCTAGACTTTTTTTGGAGTCAGGATCTCTATGTAGTTCAAACCAACCTTGAATTTGTGACCCTCATCTCAGCCTCTGGAGTGACTTTTTTGACACAGGGTCTTGCTATTCAGTTCAGGCTGGCTGAGCTCACTTTGTAGCCCAGGCTGGCCTTGAACTCGGTGATCTTCCTGCCTCAGCCTCCCCAGTGCTGGGATTATAGGCATGCGCCACTGTACACTTTCAAAGTGTAGTAATTAGGGCTGGCGAGATAGCTCAGCAGACTAAGCACCTGCTTAGGCAAGTGCAGGACCGGGTTTGATCCCTGGCACCACATGCCATGCCAGCCTGCCCTTGGGCGCCCTGAGCAGTGCACACCTACAATCCCAGCATTGGGGAGGCTGAAAACGGGGATCACTGTGAGTCTGTGCTGCACAGTGAGACCCTGTACCAAATATAAATAAAAGTACAGTAACTAGATACTGTTCTCTTCCTTAGGAACATCATTCATGGCAGTGACTCAGTAAAAAGCGCGGAGAAGGAGATCAGACTGTGGTTTAAGCCGGAAGAGCTGGTTGACTACAAGCCCTGTGCTCACAACTGGATCTATGAGTAGAGGCGGGAGCGCCATGCCCTCGCTCCGCCCTCTCGGAGGACAGATGCAGCCTTCTTTTCTAAAGCCCATTTCCCAATAAAGTCTGGCATGGGGCACAGCGTCCTGTGCTTCCTTCGCTTTGGCGGTGGCTGCCCGTGACAGGGGTGCTCTCCAGGCCACACACTTTGGCTATGTGTGTGTGAGAAGGCGAGGGCCAGGCTGCTAGCTCCTGGTGTTTCCTGTGTGGAAGATCTGTGGACAAGGGAGGGAGCCAGGTCCCATGCCCGCCGACCTGCGAGCCCTCAGCCCAGCACCCAGGCCAGGTTGGTCCCAGAGTACCTCTACCACCATGCATCTTTTTCAGCCCCTGGGAGGCTTTTTTTTTTTTTGTGGAACCGGGGATTGAACTCAGATCCTTGTGTTTGCCAGTCAAGTGCTTATCCTACTGAGCCATCTCCCCGGCCCCTACAAAATGGCAGGATTTTTTTTTGGGGGGGGGGGGCTGGCTCCGAATGCCTTCAGGGCATGTTTGGCTGGCTGGCTTGAGTTGTGGGGATCAAACCACAGCAACCTGAGGCTGACTGCTTTGTTGAAGCAGCCACTTAACCAAGGGGCTAAGGGGCAGGCCCCCCGGGAGGCTTCTTTACTATGCTTGTTTCCTGGGCTAGAAGACATGCCTCTGGGAGGCCGAGGCAGGGGAATTACAAATTTTAGCCCAGTTTGGGCTTCACAGGACCCTGTCTTCAAAGCAGAAGGTTTGGGGGAGGACTAGGCTGAAGCCCAGGGTTCAAACACAGCACACATGGTAATTCTGCACATATACTGGCTTAGCTGTGAAAATGCGTTTGAGCATTATCCTTCGAGGGCTGTTCCGTTACGTACGGTGCGTTACACACTCCGCATCCGGTGCTGCGCTGTGCATCCCAAGCATGGATTAAGCCTCCCCTGCTCCCCAAAGAACAGCTTCACTACAGCTTAACTTTCATTTTATTTTGTGTAAAAAAAGGGTGAATTTAGTGAATTATTTTCATCTTGTACACAAAGTTATAATTTTAATGCTTTTCACATCCATGCTGAAAATTTGCAGTTTGGTTAAAAATGAAAGGAACATAAATTTCTCTCAAGGAATTTTTCACGCCATTATATACACTTCATGAGAAAGTTTCAAACACTTTCTCAATGATCACGTTACCAGAAAATAAAAGATTAAATTTGTACAGATATTGATCTATATATCAAATACATACAGAAATGATGTAAAAACCTTATGCAGTTTACTTTGACCTCTGTCCTCAAAAGATTTGCCCAGGGACAGATGCTTATCCTTTGTATAAATGACTGTGGCTTTATTTAAAATACGAAAATCAAAGAAGAAACCCAGTTTAATCACAGTATTTTTAAAATCCCTTCCCAATATTAAAGGATCATTTCCAAATATATAGCACCATAATACAAATATTGATGGGAAAGGGTATTCACATCACGCAAAATTAATAATAAAACAAACAAACACTGAAAACCCGTGTTAGTATCCGTAGAATAAGTTGATAACAGCTTTAGCTTTATCCTCATACACAGCAAGGAAAAGGTTAAAGAGTTTAAACTACCAAGTCCCCAAGTAATCCTAACAGGGAAACAAGTAACAAAAACAAACTCAAGGTCAGCAGTACTCCTGAACCGCAAGAGGCAGGGGGTGGTTATGGCTAAGACTGGGCCCCTGTGCCAGCAGCCGGGGAGCAGTGAGGCCGCAGGCTGCAAGGAGCGCTGCAGGAACGGGTGCTTCTGAAACGCTCACTCAGCCTGGCTTTGCCCTTGGATTGGAAGCTTGGGAACCCGGCTGCAAGTGAGCATGTCACAGAGCTAATTACCAGGGCTGGCTGGCTCCACGCCCCGGCCCTCCAGGCCTACCAGTTCCCTGGAGAACCCCCATGCCCGAGCTTGCTTGGGCTGGAGCCTGGGTGCCTGGGGTGACCTGCGGAGCCTGAGGATAAGGGTCTGCGCCCTGCACCCGGAATCTTCTGCGCGTGAGATCTGGGAAGCCTGAGGACATCACATTTACAGTAGGTCCCTCTCAGCAACGTTGTTTAAGATAAATATCCAGTAATTTTTACAGCTGAATTCACATATATTTGACACATGAGAATCAACTTGCGTTGATGTAATCTGCGTTTCTGCCCTCGAAGAGTCAGTGTTAAGAAATGGTGACATGCGATTTCATACATTCTTACACTATAAAGTAACACAACTTCCAGTAGCTACTACAAAACCTTATGTTATTAACCCCTCTTGCATAGAATGAGGTAAACCTGTGCGTATTACCAATGCTATTATTCCCAAAAGTAGAGCAATATTTTAGAAAATAAATTGCTGGTTTTTAACGTTCTATGCATTTTAAAATTCAAACAAAAAAATCTTACCTAAAATGGTCTCCTGGGGCTTTCCGTCGTTTAAAGCATTCCATAGGCAGAAGGACTGTAATCACTGTGATTAATTTCTAGTGCGCCCTGCCTACATTTCAGAGGCGGTGGCCACGGCTTGCATTCTGCGGAGGCCCGGCAAAGACCCAGAAGCACTTCTACAACAGATGAGTGAATTCCTGAGAGTTTAGTTATGAACCTCACTGGTAAACGCTAGAGCTCTCTCATTCAGTCACAACTTGGTGGACAGCTAGAAAACAGAGAGCAAATCTTTCACCAATTTACCCTTTATCCTATTTTCAAAGGAAGCCACATGAATTTTAAAATAGGGAATGTTTGTAATGGTCCAAATCAATCCTTACTGTTAAGATTCTGATGACAATTAAAAACAAGGCATACTCTATATATGGAATTTTAAGAAAATTAAGTCCTCTTTCAATTTTGTTTTCTAACAAATCTAGGACAGCTAGAAGTGGAGCTGGAATGATTCTGAAATCTGAAGCTTTTTGGCTTTGAGTAACTGACTTTGAATTTCTTGGTGACACCGAACATCTGTTTTGGGGTGTGGTTGTGCCCAGTTACTATCTCATGGGAGCGGGGGATGTGGCCGAGAACCGACCAGAATCTCTTGTGTTTGTTTTTTTTTTAAAGTAAGGAATATAAACTCAGGACAATATTGCATTTTCCCAGCCCCGCGACGTGGAGACCGAGATCCTGTGTATCTGCCAACCATTCCAGTTTTAACACTTTAGTGTTCGGATCATTTTGATCGTTTTTGACTTAAAAGAGAACATACAAAAGTATCCAGAGTTCTTCCAGTTTCATATAGAACTCTAAATAAAATTTTCCCAGAATGAAAAACCTTTCTGTACAAATATTTAAAATGGGCTGCAATAAAACGCCAAGGAGCAGCGCGACGCCCCTCCGCGTCTGTGAGCTGCGCCCTCCTGGAGGGCCTCAGTTGCATATTTCTGCGGCAGAGGAAGCTGGAGAAGTGACTGGCCTAACTTCTAAAATCCAAGTCTCCCAACAGGTACCAAAGGTTCATGTTTAGAACAGTTCATTTGCATTTACAATTATATCCTTCTTAAGTCATTTCCTTCAATCCTGCTACCTAAACTTTAGTCTTACCAAAAAAGTTAGAAGTTCAGTTCTCATTAACAATGCACATAAGTCCAAACTTGGAAAATATTACAAAATTCTTTCAAAAGCTTCAAATACAACACAAAAATTGTCCATCTTTATAAATTGAAAAATTTTCCCCCCGACTAAAATAGTTTCCCCACCCACCTGAAAAATCTGGAACTGAAATTTTCTATGTTTAGCAAAATGTCCAGGAGAATAGCCTGCTGTACAGCTGGGTCAATTATAAATCAGTTCTGTGTAAAATGCTCCCCTCCCACCCTCAGGTTCGGAGCCTGCTCAGGGCTCTTGCTTGATGTAGAAGTTGGCAGCGCCGTTGCTTTCCTGATCAGAAGCTCCTTGTAGGAAGCTGTAGTCCTCGCCGTCCAGCAGCTCCTCCTTCAGCTGCAGTGTGGTCACTGTGAGGGAGAGAGGGGGAGAGGCACCGGGTCACCCAGCCGCTGGCACAGCCACACCGCCGCTGGCCTGCAGGCTCTACCAGCTTCATGATGCCTTCCTATCCTCTCCAATGCTTAGTTAGCCCTGAAAATCCGGGCCAAGCTCAGGGGTGGCTACCGCGAATGCATGAGGCCCGGGTTCATCGATCCCCAGTACTGTAAACACAAAAACAAACACAGGACCTCCAGAGGGACAGGCACCCAAGGGTTTCTTTCTGTGGGGCTGGCCACTGAGCCTGGCCTCACGTGTGATGGGCAAGGGCTCTGTCACTGAGCTGCGGTCCAGGCCTCGCTCCAACTGTCCATGCCTGACCTTGAAGGGGTGCTCTGGAAGAGCAGCAGGGCACTTTGGGCCCTGCACAGCCGCCAGCGGCACAGAATCTCCTCGGCAGTGGCGTTCACTTTTCTTACGGTTAAATGTTCACTTTTATGTCCATGTCTATAGAAATGACATTCTTGCATGCTTCCAAAGTGCAATGCTTCATAACAACACAGCAAATATGGCTTTAAAATGTTATTATTCCCAAAAACCACCTTCCTTTATTTTGCACAGGTGGGTACTGAACCCAGGGCCTCACACATGCTAGGAAAGTACCCTAGACTACTGTACTAGAGCCTAGCCCCGATATTAGACACCTTGAAAAAACAAGAGGAGCCTATTAAAACTTTAAAAATGGCAAATTATATAAAACACCAATAACATAAATTACACAAATGTACACTTATAAAAATAAAACTGCCATTAAATGAATTCTCATACTGGAATTAAAATGATGGTGGGGCTGGGGAGATGGCTCAGTACAATAAGCGCTTGCCTGGCAAGCGCAAGGGTCTGAGTTCAATCACCAGTTCCGCAAAAAAAAAAAAGGTAAAATGATGGTGAACGTGACCGTGAGTACCTACTCTGGTTCAAGTAAAAAGTTACTGACAATGGAAACATGCAAATCACTGGTGCAGGGCTGGGGATGTGGTTTAGTGGCAGAGCACTTATCTAGTATATGCGAGGTCAAGGGTTCAAGTCCTAGTACCACTGGGAAACACAAAAAACCCCGAAATAAACCAGAAGACAGACAGAAAAAAAACTAAACCTCCCTCAGTAACCCCAAGTGCTCCCTTTCCCTGGGGGCACTGCCAGCAGTACTCACTGGCTCCAGGAGCTGCCACGTGGCTCCCCTTTTAACTAACATACAGTGGCCCTCAATTTTAGTGAGTCATGTCTCAACAGGTCTGTATTCTGCAAAGAACTGCTTTAGAAGGGGTGTGTCTCCCAGTGAGACAGAGGTCATGCTGGCCAGGACTCTGGGGATGGGGGCTCCTCCTACTGCAGGAGTGAGATTAAGAAAAACAGGAACTGTCCCACATGGTGGCAAAGGCAACAATCCCAGCACCCAGGAGGCTGAGGCAGGAGGATCAGGATCGTTGTGTTTGAGACCAGCCTGGGCTACAAAGAGAGTTCCAGGCCAGCCTGAACTGCACAGTGAGACCCCACCTCAAAAAGACAAAAGAAGGCCAGGGAGATAGCTCAGTGGCATAAGCACCTGCCTTGCAAGTGCAAGGTCCTGAATTCAATCCCTGGTACTGCCAGAAAAAAAAAAAAAAAAAAAAAAAAAAAAAAAAAAAAAAAAACACGTTTCTACTACGCCCCTCTCACCTTGTGACTCCCACAAGTGGGCCACTCTGTGCCTCAGGTGGCCTCACATCTTGCCAGAAAGCCATCTCCCTACAGTTTGCTACTAATGCAAATGACCTAAGCTAGGTCTCAGTTACCAACTTGTGTCAGGATTTCTTAAAAAAAAGTCAGCATCCAACCATAATTGAGTTGGTGAAGCTGCAAATTTTTTGGGGGATACAGAAAATCAAACCCCGGACCTCGGAATGCAGTCTTTGAAGAATCAGGGGGTCATCTGCCTCTAACCTGGCACAGACCCGGGTGCTTTTGCAGTGCTGGAGAAGGAAACCAGCTTCCCTGGAGGTGGGGAAGCCAAGAAAGCGCTCTCCCACTGGGCTACAGTTTGTTTCCCTTTTAAAATGTGAGTGACTATTTTGAAACCAGGGACTCGACCCAGACATTGGAAAGGTCACGGGTCAGGGCACTCTTGGGCTTGCCCCACCCTGCCTGCTGGGACCCGGCTCCAAAAGTGGTCAGTGGGTTTTTTGATATGTACTGTTCATTCAACTCTTAAGGGGCTGAAGCTCTAGCCCTCCAGGTTACTGGCCCACTACTTTCAACTTTCTGCTGTTAAGCACAGTTCACAGTATTATTGCTAATCTTTCTGTTTTTCCTTGAGGCAGGGCCTGGCTGAGGCACACTGGCTGGGCTATCAGGAGTCTGCTGGGGATGGGAACAGGCTGAGCACCCTGCAATGCAGGGCATAAAATGGAAACCCTTCATACCGAAAAACAATAACTAAAGGTGAGTTAGAATTCACATGTGTCTGGGTAGTAAGTACTCAAGTTGGGTTTGTTGTTGTTGAATCTCTATCTTTAAAAAAGTTTTCAAAGAAAAAAAAATTTTTTTAAAGAGATTACAA